TCCTATGTCTTCTGAAGGGTGCGTTTCAGAGTGTCGAGATTTGTGCACTCAAAGATCGACCACACGAAAAAGTCGAGAGCTTCTGTCGTCCGTCACGGCTGTTATTCAGCTTCTTGGCGATTTTCTGAGACTCCTCTTCTAATTTTACCGGATTTGTCCCTAATACTATGGTGGACTTACAGCAGTCTGTTTTCTTCCACTTCTGGGATAATCCTCGATGCTACCGGTATCTCAATAATAACCAATTGCGCATTGGATACCTCTATGGGAAACACCTTCTGAGTCACCCTGGCCTCGCTTAGCTTCAAAATCGTGGCACAATCGGACACCGTTATATGAAAACGCGCAAAGCAATCCTTTGGATTTTTGGAGAAGTCGAACAAAGTTATAATGCCACGAGGAATGTAGAGATGCAGAAACTGCGCCTAAGCGAGGTGAGATAGGAATTCAGAGGATACAAAACGGCATTTTATATTACTCTGGGGGAAACAAACTCCAACACCAATACGACGAAATTAAAAGAAACGAGCCGTGATCTAAATGTTGATGGAGTGAATATTATGTTGTCCTCTTTTCACTCCTTTTTGCTTGGATTAAGATATTGTTTGGTTATTTAACTTTTAACACCTACGAAATCATACAAGGTTTAAGATAATATAATCGTATATTTCTTTTCTTTAATCCATTTAATTATTAAGAATTATAAAGTAAATACCAACAAAGTTCCTTTAGATTAAAATTACATAAGCAAATTTCGTAGAAATTTCAATTAGTTAAATTAAATTCTATTTAACTTGAATAAATACAAAAATAATCAAATTCTTGGTTCTACACCATAATAAAAACCTCATAAAACAATCTTTATCGATTTGTTGCGAATCACTATATACTTATTGGATTTTCTATTGAAAATAGAATTCCCAGAACGACGAAATTAAAAACGTCTCGGCACCGTTCTATAAATAAAATTTAATCAACATAGCACTTACATAAATTTTTACTTTAGATTATTATGGATTTAAGTTGAGGACATTCTTAATAATTATTATATTATGTAATTATTGTAAATTGATAGTTAATTGTTTTTTAGGCCATGGTAGCGTGTTATCCAGGTTCGGGATCGCGTTATGTAAAACACGTGGACAATCCAAACAGAGATGGAAGATGTATAACAGCGATATATTATTTAAATTTAAATTGGGACGTTAAAGATTGTGGGGGTTTGTTACGAATATTCCCTGAAGGTTGGAGAGGAGACAAGGTTAAATAAAACAATTATGAATTGATGTATTAATTTTTAACGATATTTTTTTTAGGTAGCCGATATTGAACCATTATTCGACAGATTATTATTTTTCTGGTCAGACAGAAGAAACCCACACGAAGTTCAACCAGCTTATCAAACGCGATACGCAATTACGTTATGGTATTTTGATTCAATCGAGAGGGAGGCGGCGTGTCGGAGGTATGAGAAAGAAAGTAGGTTTTTGAAGACATTTTTCTTTTTTTTTTTTATTCCAAACAATTTGTTGTAATATTGAAATCGTTTTTTTTTTCTCAATTAATAGTAAAATTTCTTATTTTTGCATGTAAAAACCATATATTCATTCAACATTTGTATTGATAATTAAGTTAATTTTTATTTTTGTAGGGTCGATGATTAAGCAGCCAATTTAGCAAAGAAAGCTCAGTGTATATAATTTGTACAGTCCGTTTTTAAAAAGTTCGGAGTTGAGACGAACGATGAGCAGACTACAATATCAACGTAACAAAAATTAATACAATGTGATACCTGTTTGAACGCGCCGCCGCTGTATCTATTGTTGTATATAAAATAATACGAAATTTGTGTAAGTACGTACTTTGACCGAATCGTTCTTTTTTGTACGTACGTTCGATGCGTGTGATAAGTCGTCGAGGAGTTACTAATTGGACCCAAAAAAAATTATAATAAACGTTTTCCCCAGTCTTTTTTATATATTAAACTTTGTTTTTATACCGGATATTCCTCGACATCCCTTCGTATCTATTTCTTTACTAAACGCCTACAAGTGTTTTCTTATGAAAGAAGTAAAGAAAAATACGAGTAGGTGAAACGTTAACTATATTTTACTACTGTATAAAGATTGTATAAGCATAATTTTGTGCAGATATATTGAATTGTTAAATATTGTATGATATTATATTGACTAATACATTTCTTACATATTTTTTTCATTAGTTTACTTTTGGGTACTTTTATACAAGTGAAAATACTTTCTTAGTTGGTTTAGATGTAATTAAGAGTATAGGAGCTTTAAAAAGTGCTTATAACACTGAGCAGATATTTGTTATCCAAAAAAATAATGGAAAGTCACTACACAACTTTCCACACTTTTCTTTTTAAGATAATGAATATAGTTTTCTACTAACTATACTCTGTTTTTAAACCAGGAGGAGTATTTTAAATTTGTCACCAGATTGACCTTGCACGTGATTGGTTGATTGCGAGGAAGGTTCACACACAGGCAATTTTGAATTTGAAGGTTAGGTAATTGATAATTCGACAGTTTCGTGTCATTATTGTATATTTTGTGTTCTTAAACCCTTTTTTATTATATTTTGAAATAAATACACTCATAACTTCAATGTTAATTTGTATGTATAGTGTTGACGATAACAAACGAAAATAAATACAATAATAAGTAAATAAATAAATAATAATTATTAATTTAAATTTACCGCCAAAATATCTAGTGATATTTTCTGGTGATTTTTTCCAGTGTAAATCTGACTTTCGCGTTTACTCCTCCTGGTTTAAAAACAGAGTATA